GTGGGGATGGTGTCGTGGTGTAGGAAGAAGAATGGATCTGTGGGGATGTGAAAGTTGGCGGATTGTTGAGAGATTTTCATGACTTTATCCCAGAAGATAAAGTATTCCACTGTAATCCCTCTGCCCAATAGGACCAAGTGCCCAGGTCACAAATGCACTGTTATTAGAAAGGGGAATGGTAAGTGAACACCAGAGGCAGGGATTAGACTCAAAGCCTGATTTACCAAAGGTGAAGTAGATTAAGTGGATCTTTGGGATGGATTTACTAAAGGCAAATAGGATGTTCACTTTGCAAGGGAAGTTGTGTTTTGCATGGGAATTTGCTCCAAAGCTTAGTGAATATGGTGAAGTTTCACTTTACAAAGAATACCCAATTAAACACAAAAACATTTTTAAAAAATGCATGCACATTATTGGATGATAAAAGTCAACAGAGAGGAACTGCTTGATAGTCCCTTTATATCCTGGATGCAATGATTATTTAGAAAGAATGCCCTATGAAAGAATGTGGCCACATTTACTATGGCTAGCAGTCCTCCATATAGCAAAGTTCAACTACAGTCAAAATGTATTTTTCAGATTTGGTTAGATTATGGAAGGGTTGTAACCTCAGTAAGGTTTTTATTCCTGTCTGTGTAAGCAGTAACGTTCCACATGAGTCCTAACCTTCTCCCACTTTTTCCAAAACTGAAAAAATGTTTTGGCTGGATTTATGGTTTAAATGAAGAGCCCCATATCTTGGACTAACTTCTCACAGCTGCTATTTCTAAGCACAAAATGGTGGCCAGAAAAGTCAAGCAACAGCGTATAAACTTTTTTTTATCCTAAAGGCATCGCCAGACATAATTGGTTGGTTTAAAATGCCTTAAAAAGATACAATTAACAATGATGTACAAAGCCATTCACAACTCTGTCCTCAACTGCATCACCCACTTTAGTTCAATACATCAACCTATCTATCCTCTCCGCTCCTTCTAAGACCTTCTAATCTCTAGCTCTCTTGTAACCTCCTCTCATAATTTCTTCAGAGTCTCCCCATCCTCTGGAACTCCATACCTCAACCTGTCCAGCTATCTCCTACTCTGTCCACCATTAGGTGATCCCTGAAAACGCAACTCTTTAAGGAAGCCTATCTTGCATCAACTTAAAAAATGCATTCGACTTTCTCAGCCAACTCATACACACAGAGTTTTTCCCTTCCTTTTTAGATTGTAAGTTCTCAGGAGAGCCCACTAACCCTCTTGTCTTGAATTGTACTGTAACTATACTGCCCCCCTTTACTTTGTAAAGTGCTGAACAAACTGTTGGTGCTATAAAAACGCAAATAATAATACTATCACTGAGAATAACAAGGAATATCATGTTTACCCTTTCTCCAGAAAGACCGTTTGCACCAGGTTCACCCTTCTGTCCCTTTGCTCCATGCTCCCCAGGGTCCCCAGCTTCTCCCTAAAATAAATACAGACAAAAGTAAGGGCTTGGGAAGGATGTCAAATATAAAAAAATGAAAACATAAAATATATAAAAATACAAATATTTTCTGTTAGTTAAAAAAATCCATCGATATGCATTCACTTACTTGATCCCCTTTCAATCCAGCTGTTACTGATTCAATGGAAGCCTTAAAGAAGTAAACATAACTTGTTAAGGAACAAGTGTATTCACAGAAAACATAATGGACATAAAACAAGTGATAATAATAATAATAATATTAATGAGAATAAAAACAATAGGAATGACAATCAGCATGATAAAAATAACAGAAATGAAACAAAACAACAACCATAATATAGAAATATGCACAAAGACATTGTGTAACACTGAATATACGTTTAATTAAACAGTCTTACTGGTTTCCCTGGTGGTCCAGCTGGTCCCTGGGGGCCCTAAAAAAGTCAAAATAAATTATTTGATATACGGACAAGCCATTGACAGTGATTAATCTGAGAAATATGTTTAAAGCACTCATATACAGTATAGTCTGATTGTACAATCAGTACTACCAAGAACTTTGTAGTATGAAGGCCTGCCTGATTATCATAGAAATGGATTCAATTTACTTTTTTTTAAGAAGAACCTCATACTATATAATGTTTGGTAAATTTAAACAGACTTCGCATTGACAACAAAACAGGTTTTAGATAGATTGGGGCCCTGGGAAAGGGTTAAACTGGGGCCCCCTTGGTGGCAGTAGCAGAGGCCCTCCAGTTCCTGATCCAGTTTATAAATAGAAAAACGCTTTGCTCTAATGCATCCTACCATGCAATCATCCAGGTTTTATTACCGCCTGTCCCCATTGGGGAAATAAACTGCTGGTGGCCATTGCTACCAAAACAGAATATTAGGTGAAATCCAGAAATTTACAGCTGCCCCCAGAACAAGAGGTAAAAGGAAATATGACAAAGGGGACACCTGCTCCAGGTAAAATGGACAAAGAGGGAAATCCCCCTCACTTTGGGAGATTTCCATTAAGTTCCTGTTGTGTCTCTGGGACAGCTACTGAAGGAAATTTCCCAATGGTACACAGATGACAAAAACAACCTGATGGGGTTTTACCCTTCCCTACTTATCCAAAACTAAAAAAAAAAGCTAGGTTATACTTTCAATTTAAGAGCATTTGTATGCTACGGAGTGGCTCATGATGAAGGATATGATGCTGCTACTGTAATGATGCAGATTTTCATGTGCAGAGGAGATTGAGAGCAGGGGGGGAAAGCTCTTGGGGGCCCTTGTTAATGCGGCAAGAGTGGGGCAATTTTCCAGTTTGCTTGCCCCCTTCCTCAATCACCAGTCCTGACATATAAATTGTAATGTGCATTGCCAGCTTAATGCTGGATCTAGATATTAGAGGTTGCAGGCTCAATCCAATTAATTGAAGGTAACCTGACCATTCATATTTAATGTTTTGGAGTAAAGAGGGGGATGGCAGACACCTCAGAACCTGATTTGTCGTTATTTTGTCTGTGTTGTCTTAGTTTCCAGTGTCTTCAGGAGCTCTTAGACATAAGAGACTAAATTATCAAGTTAGTGAGTTCCAAGTTCCCATTAGAGTAGCTAACCACTCACTGTCAAGCTTTCTGATTACCCCTTAGACATAGGTTGTGTGGACTGAGATCCAAACAAATTCCTGAGTTCAGATCACAGTATTTAATAGTTTAGGGTCTTGGCTCTTTTTTAATTAACCAGAGTAATCCATAATGTCCTACTTTGAAGGACTATATAGTATGAAATACGGGAATTGAAATACATACTGCGTCACCACGTTCACCTTTACCACCGGGCTGTCCAGGGCTCCCCTAAAAAGAAGAACAATCTCAACTGAAATTACCTACAAAAACAGCAAATGTTTGGGGACAATAACTGTCAAATGAAAATGAATGCATACCTATAAACCAAGATAATCTGCCACGTAGAAAAGAGCTATTGGGCTCACTTTAATATCCTATGTGTGCTGGCTAAGTGGTTAGTGTAACGGACCCCAGACACCCATGACTGGGTATCTCCATCAAGAAGCTGCTTCTCAGGCTCTGGAACGCGAGACCAGTGAATCTGGCTATTGTTACCCCAAGATCCAGATGACACCAGATTTGAAGTAAACCAGAGGTAGACTAGTTTATTTGAAAACAGATACAAGATATATACACTCGGGGACAATCCCCCCTCCCTGCATAATGACACAGGGCGGGGCAATCTATATTTAGAAACAAGAGACACACAGGTATTCAAACTTCACACCAGCAGACAGTCCCATCAGGAGGGAGGGCTGCTGGAGACACCCCCGCACTAACCTAATACACATATACACATTCAAACAATAGAACAATGGGATGCAGCCACATAACATTAACAAATCAACAACCCCCACCCCACCTATCTCCCAGACATGTCTACTCAGCCTGAGACAAAGCCCACACAATATTAGGAAAGATTACCCTGTACCCCTAAAAGGCACAGGGTGATTTACACATAAGAGGGATATGGGGAGCTGAGACAGGGGTCTCCCCACCTCTCCAAAGTGAGCTGGGTTCCATGGGCCCCCCCACCCAAAGTGACTCCCATCACAGGTAGTGTTCTTGGCTTTCATTGCTGGGACCCAAGGTTTAATTTCCAGTAAGGGTGTTGGCTGTATGTAGTTTGTGCTGTGTAGGTTGGTAGATCAGTTGGCTTTGACCAAAACTGGCCAAAGTATTGGTACCCACATAACTAAGCCAGGGACACTGGAGTAGAAACTTTTCTAGCTCAATGCTCTATCTTTGTTTTTAAAAACGATATCATACCATTGTGTCTTTCAATGGATTAAAGTGTATCTAAAGACAAGGTTCTCCCTCTCTATCTGGTAATGGATAACCCAAAGTTTTGAGTTGGTACCAGTACAGATGAAATTTGCCAAAGGAAATTCTCGGTACAGTGACAACTATCTAAGAGGGGACTTTCCTCAATTTAGAGAGATATACTCTAACTTTCTATTGTGTCTACAGGACAGGAAGTGAAGGGAAAATTCTGAATAAAACACTCATGCAAACAAATATTTGTCAGGAGTTTTTATTATTTCTTGCTTGATCCAAAACGAAACAAAGAGTTTTGGCCTTAGATATACTTTAAAATTACAACATGTCTCGGTACAGCTGTTTTGAATGGTTATGTGCACTGGCCAAATTCCCTGACATTATACAGCCTTCTGATAAAGCAGTCATGTCCAATGTGTCTCCTATGAGCTGCACATGGCCCTCATATTCCTTTGCAGCTCAGTCAGTTTATAGGAATTATATATTGGCTGCCATGCCTGGTTTCATTCCATCTGCACTACAACACTGCCTGCACAAGCAACACAATACCCAGAAAACTCTCTCCCAATACCATTATTACTTATCAAATTTTAGGTCTCAGACATGAGACAGATGGACATGGCAGAAAGTCTGTTTTGTGTTTTCTGGTAATTACCCAAGTCCTTCTGTGGTTTTATAGATACTCACATTCCTTCCTTCTTCTCCGGGCTCCCCTTGGTCTCCCTTTTCTCCTAGAATGCCCCTGATCCCTGGAGGACCCTGAGGAAAACAGGATTGCCATTATTAATTGATGTAAATAGAATACAAAAGATCTACCAAACTAAAGTCTCATGGAAAAGAAGCATAGTAATTTATTTTTCTAAAGAATACCAGCTATATGCACAAAACAGCCCAATAAAAGCAAATGATGCTCCATATGTTAATGGAAATTTATTTTTTATATGTTTTTATGTTTCAGATTTCACAAGTTGGCAAAATAAGATTACAGCAGTGTTCCTGTATAATGCATATATAGTGTACATTTTCTTAAACCTGGCCATGCATGGACAGAAAACTGAATGCAACATCAAATCAGTAGAACGATCATTTGATTTTTGTATGGTTAGAGTGCTTATGGCGACAGTTGATTTCCGTTTCGAGATCGAAAATGAAATTTTTTTCTAATCAATTTTTGATTAGATTGGTGATGATTACTTCAACAGTCTGAAGAAGGGGGCATGATGACATAACAGCCAATTCCTTGGGTCGGTAATCATAAAGCAAACCCCCTACTCATTAGAGAGTTAACAAGCACCTCCGGAAGTTGGATTTTGGCACTTGTTACTAAACAGGGAGATGTTCCATAGTAGCATGTGCATCTAGAACAAGTCACTTGGGATTCCTAAACGGCTAATTCAAGCCCTTGTTTTGTTACATTTGTTCTTACCCTCAGACCTCTCTCTCCAGAACTTCCTGGGGTTCCAGGTTCACCCTGCAAGAAAAGAGAAACAAGGAAAAGGTAGTTTGGTTTGTCTACTTCCTGGTGACGTATGTCCGGACACAGTGGCCATATTGGATTCCCCCAGGTGCATGCATATCTACCCACAGGCTGGGAAAAACGCTTTTTTTATGGAAAGGAGCATGTGAGTGGAAAACTTTGTAATTTTTAACTTTGCCTATTAAATTTACTACACTATGGAAGGCTTTCTTGTCTTTTTATGAGTTGCATAAGAGAGGAGGAGGAATAAGGAGTCTGCCAGAGGAATACACCACTGAGGTGGTAACTGCTTTGAGGCCCTGTGTGGGTCGAGGAAGGGAGGTGAGCAGGCATTGCTGCCATTTGAAGGAGAGTACTTGCACTTAGAAGTGGAGATCACGTGTGTGTTCCAGCTTAAAGCACAGTCACATGCATGGAATATTTTTTTCACCTTTGATATTGTCTTGTTCACCTATGGCATATATCATTTATGTATAATTTAGACACCATTGTATGTGGCCAATATTCTGTTTTCACGTATATATATATATTCTGTTCATTATTTGATTTATGCACTATATATTTAGTTTCCGAAAATGTGTGTTATTTATCAATTTTGGATTGACATATTTTTACTTTTCACTAGAGGGGGCATGATGACATAACAGCCAATTCCTTGGGTTTATAATCATAAAGCAAACCCCCTACTCATTTAGAGAGTTAACAAGCACTCCGGAAGTTGGATTTTGGCACTTGTTATAAACAGGGAGATGTTCCATTCAGTATACATGTGCATTTTAGATTTTATTTTGCACTTATGGGATTCCTAAACGGCTAATTCAAGCCCTTGTTTTGTTACATTTTTCTTACCCTCAGAGCTCTCTCCAGAACTTCCTGGGGTTCCAGGTTCACCCTAAAAGAGAAACAAGGAAAAGGTAGTATCACCTCTTTACTGAAAATACGGGAAAACTTTGTCTCATTTTTTTAGCTTCCAAAACATTATCTTATATATTGTATATACATTCACCAGCCACTTTATTAGGTACACCTTGTACCTAATTGCATTAGTTGGTAACACAAATTGCTAATCAGCCAATGACATGATAGCAACTCAATGCATTTAGGCATCTAGAAGTGGTGAAGCCAACTTGCTGAAGTTCAAACCGAGCATCAGAATGGGGAAAAAGAGGATTTAAGTGACTTTGAACGCGGAATATCAACCAACAAACACTTTTCTCCTGCACTAGGAAAGGACACAGTAGACCCAATAGGAATGTTCTGGAATTTTCTGGAATATGCACTGCTTGCTGCCCTCAACAGGGTGGTCCAAATACACTAGATGCAAATGGAGAAACAGAAAAAGGGCGCACCGACCTAGTGCATTATCGTTTAAAATATTTATTGAAGAAACAAAGTAAGTATCATACTTACAATAGACATAAAAACAGAGGCATGTCAAACTAAACAAGATGTATGATCCAAACATCTGAGTCCATACGATGGAACCCTGGATGACCAACTGGCTAACGCGTTTCGAGGACACAACCTCTTCCTCCTAGAGATTGTGTCCTTGAAACGCGTTAGCCAGTTGGTCATCCAGGGTTCCATCGTATGGACTCAGATGTTGTTTGGATCATACATGTTGTCCAGTTTGACATGCCTGTGTTTTTATGTCTATTGTGAGTATGATATCTATTTTGTTCAATAAATTATTTTAAACGATAATGCACTAGGTCGGTGCGCCCTTTTTCTGTTTCTCCATTTGCATCTTTTGAACGTGGAATGGTTGTTGGTGCAAGACCGGCTGGTCTGAGTATTTAAAAAAATGGTGATCTACTAGGATTTTCCCGCAAAACAATCTCTAGAGTTTACAGAGAATGGTCCAAAAAAGAGTAAGTATCCAGTGAGTGGCAGTTGTGTGGAAGACAATGGAGGAGAATGGGCAGACTGGCTGCTGCAACATTCAGATGGTAGAATCTGAATTTGACAGAAACAACATGAAAACATGGATCCATCCTGCCTTGTATCAATGGTTCAGGCTGGTGGTGGTGGTGTAATGGTGTGAGGGAGATTTTCTTGGCACTAGCAAGTTGTACCTAATAAAGTGACCGGTGAGTTGTACATATTTAATACAAAAGTTATGTACCTTTTTCCTAATTTTTATCTTATCACTACTCCTCTCCTCTGCATTTAATGCCATAGAAAATACATTTCTTAGTCTAGCTAGAGAGTTTCGGTTGGTATAGCTAGAGGGATCTCTCTACCCAACAGTACCTAACTCACTCCCATTGGTTCAGTCACAGAGCAGACCCAATTCCTCCTCCTTACCCTTCTGCGATAATGCTCTCTTAAAGACATGGGTCTCTATTAAAGCACCTCCATTCATATAGGTCCCCTAACCCCAATAATGGGGAACCTGATGTTTCCCCCAGACATGGCCTGTTCACAATTTCTCATGTGATAATATTCCACTGGTCATGAGTGTCCCTCCTAACACCATGACATAACACCATGACAGGTACTCCATTTATGTGGCCACATGGACATTATGGGTCATTTTCCATGGATCCCCATGATTCAAAATCATTTTAACCTGAATGCTCAAAGCAAACCAAACTGTACGGGTGCTTGCCTCCCCACTCTGCCACCCAGCACCCTTCCCACTCCCTCACCCCTGTCTTTCCCCAACCACACTTGGCTTTAAAACCCCTATTTCTGTCACTTTACTTGTCTACTGTGCCCCTAGAAAGTTTTTCTACACTCTTTTTTTTTTTGTACACTAGGACCATGCAATCATAATGAGATCCCTTGCAATGATGGCTATCGATTGATATGCCCCCCCCATACGGCCTCAGCTTCACGGCCACATGACATACAGTACTCTGTAAAGAACCTGGCGTTTGTACTGGATACACCCAACTGAATGTTTTTCTCTCGGTTTTTGTTCTCACAATGAGTTCTGACTATGCCATGCATTCAGCTATTGTTAATGTGTGCCCTCCTCCTCCTTTCCTTTTGTATGTTGATGAATTGAATAAACCATTAAATGAATTTGACTTGCCAAAAATGTACCACACTTGTAATCAATCATGGAAAGAGTCCTTAGCATACAAGCCTACAATTTAGAGGCATCAGAGTGGAAACAGGTTAGCTTTATACAAGAAAGTGTGGCTTGTAAGGTGGTGGAGGAGGAAACAGTGACTGAAGAGGATATCTTGCATTTGATTATCTGCTTATCTGAAGAAGTGGGTTTTAAGGTGCTTTAAGCATTCTACTGGTTGGTGAGCACCCAACGGCATGTGGAAAGGAATTCCAGAAACGACTGGAAGCTTGTGAGAAGTCCGGGATTTGAGAGTGTGAATCAAAGAGCAAGGCAATGAGATTGCATTTGTTAAAGTGCCTAGAAATTTGCAAGAAAATATATGGAGGGATATATTTGTATGTAAGGGTTATAATTGTGAACTAAATTCTGTATGTGAAAAGTGGAGACAGAGAAGCAGCAGTTTAATAGCAAGAAGTCTTACCGCAGTACCGTCATTTCCTTTATCTCCCTTTTCTCCATCCTTACCACGCTGTCCCGTTGGCCCCTGTGGACCAGTTTTTCCAGGTTCTCCATTCTGTCCTGGGTCTCCAGAGTCTCCCTGGGTAAACAATCACAGTATAAGCTGGTGCTTCAATAGCTAAATCAGCAAATAATGCAACAAACTGTACACTTTCTGTCTGTACTAGCAAAAGCATTAATCAATGAAATAAAAAAAAAAGAGTAAAAAAAGTGATTGTGTGGGTGGCAAAATGCGGCATTTATGTGTCTGGCCACTGAATAAGGTCATTAAAATAAGTCATCTATTAATTCATTAATGGCTCAATTTTTATATGGAAATACAGAAAACAAAATAAGTGAAAAGCAGTCAAATGTTTTTTTTTTTTTTGGTTTTGGCGAGGGGTATAAACCTCTGGCATGTTTGTGCCTCTGTTGGAGAGACTCTCCTAACTTCTTGTGAGGTCCCCCAATTGGAATATTTATTTATTTATTTCAGGTACTTATATAGCGCCGTCAATTTATGCAGCGCTTTACATATATATTGTACATTCACATCAGTCCCTAACCCTCAAGGGGTGTACAGTCTAAGGTCCCTAACCCTCAAGGGGCATACAATCTAAGGTCCCTAACTCACATTCATACATACACATACTAGGGCCAATTTGGACAGGAGCCAATTCACCTACCAGCATGTCTTTGGAGTGTGGAAAGAAACCGGAGTACCCAGAGGAAACCCATGCAGGCAAAGGGAGAACATGCAAACTCCAGGCAGGTGATGCCGTGGCTGGGATTCAAACCAACGACCCCTAGTACTGCCAGGTGGAAAGGCTAACCATTTAGCCACTGTGCTGCCAATACACAAAACACCTGAGTGGGACTCAAACTCTTTCCTTGCTTCAAAGTGCATTACGAACAGGCTGAGGAAACAATTATGCACATACGTGTGTGATACCAAAAGGGGTCATATGTTCAGCAGTAAGGTATTAGGTGGTTAGAGTGGTCATTAGTCCACCATAGCAAGCGGTCATCACTCCAATCCAATGGGTGAAGCTGGCTGTAGCTATAATTGGGGAGGTGGGGAGGTTCCAGGTCCGGATCAGTGCAGGAGAGCGGGTGATGAAGTGAAATAATTAATTTTCTAATCACAAGTGGACATACCTTTGCACCTGTCTTTCCAATGAGACCCATAAGACCCTAAAGAAAAAGAGTATGTTAATAAAAATGTTTATATTATTAAATGCCAAACTATTAGCAAATATCTTTATGGAGGTACTGTAGTTTGATTTCCTGGTAATATTTTATCAAAATTGATTTTCCATTACTACAAACAACAAAGTATGCTAATTAATATGGTAAAGCACAATGTACAAACCACAGTAAACCTTAACAAATCAGCAATCCTTTTTTTTTTTTTGCACTGACAGAGGAAAGGTGCGATGCGCTGCTATCGGCTGCACATCACTACCCTGCCTCATGAAATTCCGGCAACTATTACAAGACCATACAGGAATCAGATGGCAGACAACACACGCTAACACTTACCCTCTCCCCTGGTTCACCTTTTGCTCCCGGTTGGCCAGGATTACCAATACCTTGAACACCCTGATTATGAAAAGAACACAATTAAGAAAGAAGCATGATATTGATGATCTTTTTTATACGTTTTTTGTACATGGAGCTCATTTTAGATATCACATTTCTTCGCTATTCAGTTAAGTGAACTGACTTCCAATGTGAATCAAAAAAATTATTAAATTTAAAAAAATATTAAATTTAAAAAAACAAAAAAAACATTGGTTTATGATTAAACTGGCCATAGTGTACGTGTTCTTGTATGACTGGACTGAAAGCTCCTCTAGGTAGGGCTGGGCCTAGTTTGATTGTTTTTATGAATCTTATGAACTGTTGCAGCATAGGACATCATTATATAAGTGAAGAAATGCAGAATAAGATAACAGATGTATTTTTGTTACATTATGATACTTTTCAATGGTTTAGAAACATGTTATTATTGGTCAATACTCACCCTTTCGCCTTTCTCTCCTGACTCTCCTTTGGAGCCCTTTGCCCCCTCTAGCCCTTGAATACCTCGATCTCCCTGTTGGTAAATACAAAAGCCCATAAGCAAAAAAGTTGTCAATATTAGGGAATAAGCAATAGTTTCACACTGCTCTGTAACCCTACTTCAGCCAGTTTATGTGCCACCTACCTGGTACTAATCCCTGTTTATTCACTAGGCTCTACCCAGCTCTCCAGATCATTGAACCTCTTATTTAATAACTTATACTAGAGAAGCCCAATGCAGCCATTTGTGTTCTAGACTAGAGATTTTTTGAATCTCCAAAATTCTAAATTTATGAACTGCAAGCCTCATTTAAGTAAACAGGAATCCAGACTAAAGTGTATTACGGAGCAACACATTATGCACAACTATGCAGAATGGTGGAGGAAGCTACTGGCAGCCCTGACCAAAGAGATGGCGAGACAAAAACACAGTTTGTGCATCTTCTTTTTCCAAGAATCAGATAGAAGAATGGGACCTGGTGGCACTGGAAGTCAAGCTAAGGGGCAAATACAACAGCAGAAGCAGTAAAAAGGCAGAAACAGCCTTTGGTCCCTTTTTTACCAGATGCCTTTTGGGAAAAGCTGCCAAAATTAACATGGAAATTCCAATTTGGATAGGGACATTTAATGTCTTTTGCATTTAAGGATCCACTCTAGAAGAGACATTGTGAAGGAGAATCCATAGTATTTTTTTAAGTGTATATTCTTCTACAATTTGATTAATTTTAGGATAACAACATGAGACATTCTCAGGTACACTGAAGTCATAATCCATATAAGGTACACAATGTATATTTTGAAAACTTTACATCACATAAGACCATTAATGTTAAAAACCACATAGGCTGGTAATTCAATTACATATGCACAATTTTAGGAAAATGTTGAAACGCTCTAAATTCATTCCGATCTAGCTCAGTATTTCTTGGCATCTATGTTTTCCAAGTTGATATTTCACAATAATTCACATTATCCATAGACTCCAATGTACCGAAGAAAGCATCATTAGTGTTGTATTCTTAGATCTAATCAAATTTGAGGATAATGGTACTTATTATTATTTGCTCTTGAAGCCCATGACTAATCCTTGTAGTATGTTAATATTTTTATTATATAAGACAAGATATAAGATTGGTTAAACACAATTGCAAATCAATTAAAAAGAAACCTTAATGGTACTCTGTAGGTACCATACTCAAACAGCATTCATTCTCTCTTTGGTGGGCCCGGCACAGTTTCGTCCTTATATTGCTAACAAGAAATGTGTGTTATATGCAATATTGTAACAAGATACAAGAGATGTTGATGGTGTTATGTGGTAGGTGGTTATAGAACATATTTTGGGTAACTATCAGCTATTTTATATAGATGTTATATAAGATGAACTTTAGCAAAAGATGGATTGTTTTAGATATAAAATGAAATGATGTATATACAGTATGTAAGTAGGGTATAGTCCCCATTAAGGGTTTTTTTTTTTTTAATCATTTGGCTTGATTTAGAGGGCTGTTGGTACTTCCAATATGGAAGTTTAGATGTTATATAAGATGAACTTTAACAAAAGATGGATTTTTTTAGATATATAATGAAATGATGTATATACAGTATGTAAGTAGGGTATAGTCCCATTAAGGTTTTTTTTTTTAATCATTTGGCTTGATTTAGAGGGATGTTGGTACTTCCAATATGGGCAATTGACTTTTCCCATGGATTTAATATAAACACAATTGCAAATAATTTAGCAGTTCACATTGTATTTTGTTTGGAGATCAGGTCTAAGGTTAGCCTTATTGTTCCTTTATTTTTTTAAATGTTCTTCCTTTGTCCAAGATCTCACCTTATCTCCTTTCATTCCAGGTGCTATGGAAGTCTGGAAAAGTTACAAGAAACATTGGTACCAGACCATGATAAACATTACAATATGACATGGTAAAATGATCATGTTTTCTTACCACTTGGCCAGGCTCTCCAGGAGATCCTTGGTCACCCTGAAATTGCACACAGAGAATGTTTGAGAAGGTCATTGAACAGCCCCAAAGCTCACATTAAGTATATGGTCCTGATTAAAGTAACTGTAAGGATAAGATGTTATTATGGAAACTGAGTGATCTGTTCTCTAATGCATGGTTTCCCATCCTTAGGTACTTCTTCACTGAAGGGGGACTTATGATGAGTTCAAGAGGTGCTTCAGCTTGTCGAAACAATTCCAGAATTAACAGTTTTAGAAAGCAATAGATTGTGAGGTACTCAGTCACATTCAAATTGACTTGTTCTGTAATGTTGAAGATGTTTCACAGTTTATCCAAGCCATTTCTTCAGTTCTAAAAGTGTCAGGAACATTCCCCAGCATTTATTACCATTCATTTATGACACTCATTAGAACTGAAAAAGTGACTTTGAGAAGCTACAAAATGTCTTAAACATTACAGAACAAGTCCAGCTGAGTGTGACTGACTACTACTAGAGATACCATGGCCTGCACAAATTAGAACCTTCAATTAAATAAATCATGTCTAAAAACTACACTTCATACCTAAAAATCTAAAGGTTATTTAAAAGATATCTGTCTGCCATTTAAAATGTTTCAGTAAGGCTCCCCTTACACAAGCAGTTCGATTGGGTCCGCCTGTCCGTTTTTCAGGCAGACCCAATGGGACACTCCATTCTCCTCTTTAGAGCGGGGGACATAAGTGGACTTATGTCCGTTTACACCCAGCTACCTCCAATCCAATCTGCTAAAAACAAATGGAAGGGGATCTGTTCCTCTCTGTTTGGGCAGATAGGAGGGCAGTCTGGTGTAGACAGACTGTGCATAAGTGAAGTGGACACAGACCTGTCATATGCCCGCTCCGCTCAGCAGGGGATTAGAGGACAGATCCCCCGCTGAGAAACTGGAGTCCATCCAGTATAAAAGGAACCTGAATGGAACCGGTTTTAGCTGGAAGACCTTCTGCTCTCCATGTCCTTCTGAAACTAGTTTTACTTTGTTACTAAGTATGAGACTTCCCTGATTTTGTGGACTTCTCTCTCCTACCCAACATTGCCCTGTAAAACCAGAATGCCACAGTAATCAAAAAGTCTATTCTGTTTATCTCCTCGCAATCTAGAAACATACTGGTTGGTTAGGTGACTAATATCCAAATTGGACCTAGAGTGCATACAACGGATGCTTGCTTTCCCCTCAGCTACTGTAACTCATTGCACTCCAATGGCAGAAGTGGTAACCTGAAGAGAATACTGAAGTCACGATTTGGCAGAGAGTTATATACTCCAATTGTGGCCAGTGGTGGAACCCCCTTGCGGAACCCAAGAGGTTCGTTGAACCCTAGTTGAAAAACTCTGTTGTAAACTCTTCTTTTGGAGGAACTAGGACAGTTTTCCATACCCTGTAAAGCTGTAAGTCAACACTATATCAATAGAGGGAAACATAAGTGCTTCCGAGATTTCTCTGTAGTGACCGATCACCTGTAGGGAATACTGAAGTCACCATTGGGCAGAGAGGAATATACTCCAATTGTGGCCAGTAGCAGGACCCGCTTGTAGAACCCAAGAGGTTTGTTGAACCCTAGTTGAGAAATTCTGTTGCAGAGTGTTAACTCATCTTTGGGAAGAATTAGAAGAGGTTTTAAAACCCTGTAAAGCTGTAAGTCAACACTATATCAATAGAGGGAAAAATAAGTGCTTCCAAGATTTCTCTGTAATGAACGATCAAAAAAGAAAAGCTGATTACAATTAGGTAATAAGGGTTAAGTGAAATGTGCCTTTCATGCCTTCAGAAGGTGCTACTTACCTTTTCACCTCGGAGACCCTGTGGCCCCATAGGTCCCTGTAAAGAAAACACCATAAAATAATTCTTATGAGTTTTGAGTAAAGTTCATTCCATTAGGGCCATAGGAGTAAGAGGGATAAGCTGGCCACTGCACTAGTTTGTAAATCTAAAGGAAATTATACAATCAGATTCTAACGAGGATCAGCTTTAAACTCTAAAAAAAAAGATAACACTTAACCTGACACCTAATCCTTATCTTTGACCTAAACCCAGCCATCAAATGTCTACATCAACCCTAAACCTGATATTTAGGGGTCTAGTTATGAAATATTTGTTGCACAAATGTCAGAAACATTCGCACGAAACTAAACTAAATTGTAATGTACACCTTTGAGTAGGTTACCTCCTGTATCTTTACTCTACCTAGTGTCTAAAACAGTGTTTCTCAACCTTTTTTAAGTCAAGGCACCCTTTAAAACTATGGACAGTCTCAAGGCACCCTTTAAAATTATGGACAGTCCAGAGGCACCCCATTCTAAAATGTGAAAAACTATTCTAATAGTTTTAAATAACGCAGCAACATCCACACATGTAGGACACCCAACATTAGAGGGGATTTATTCTTCCAAAGCCAATACACTTTTGCACACTGGTACTGAGTAGTCTTCCAGTGTTTCTCTTCTCCCTCAGTTTTCTCCATCACTGAGATAATGTGACCCCCTGCACTGACGGAGAGGGGCAGGAGAGGTGCAAATTAGGGTGTTGTGCAG